ATACTTAAAACACAGGAGGATCGGTGTGTCGCGGGCTTTCCCCCAGAGGTCATCTTATTTGGCGGAGAGGACCACACATGGCCGTGTCGCACCAATCAGTGCCCGACACAGCAGAAGAAACCCGGGAACAAAAAGGTCTCTTTTCAGGTTGGACGAACCAGAATACCTTTTTGTGGTGTCTCGGTGATGAACCTGCTCTAATACAACAGTTTTCTTATCTCCCCTATTTTCACATCTTGCCAGCCAGCCACACAGAACATCCCCTTTTATATGTGCCCCTTTGTACCCTGGTGGTCCATCTCCCCCCTCAGGTTACCACACACAAGTTAAAAGTATGTTTTAAGTATAGCTTGGTTATATGTTGGCTAAATATACGTAATACATGTAAATTACTTTCATTATCATAATAACAGAGGAACACACTTACTTATGGCTCTTAAGTAGTATTTTAGAGATGCTTTTCAAATAGCTCACTTCACACAGCCCAAGGCTATAGAGAACACATCTCATTTGTCCTGCAGCCGTTTCCACCCATTTGCAGCTATTGTTCACATCCTTACTTCAATAAAAGCGTTTCACATTCATTAGTTTCCGAGCTTCCTTTACACAATGCTCGATTATTATTTGAATACAAAGTAATCAACCACACACCATCTATTTAAAACAAGTTAGATTTCCCTGATAATTTGACATGCTGAAAATCTTTAGAGAGACATGTCCCCTCCAGCAGCTCGTCTCGTCCTGCTCATAAAGCTGCTTCCATTTCATTATAGAGTAATAAAACATGTTTAAGCTAATTTCTCCACAATGTTTGTAGCCATTTAGTACCCACACATGAAAGAATAAAAACAGAGGTATAGTTGAACAGTAATCACGCAGCACATATATTTACTGCAATGAAAACACACACATTTGCCCTAAGCATGTGTAACGCACCCTCTTCTTTTATGAGGGAAACATTCCAGAGTTTTGGAGCTATCCCCAAATTAGGATGTCCCCTGCTCCCATCCTTCTCTAAACACAAAGACTTCAACTCAATATATTGGGGAGGGAAAATATACTTTGTCCCTTCAAATTTAACACACATGAATATATATAAGGTGACTTTAAAATGAATATACTAGATTAAACTTTCCTGCCATAACACGGTACTTTAATACTTCAAATAATTCAAATAATCCTTCAATGTACGTGTTTATACTTCTTACAAGTTAACTAAATCAAGAGCTGTGTGATAAAACACATTTCTGTTGGGCTCAGGCTCATTTACACATTCCCTTCTATCATAATACAATTCTTGAATTATTGTTTCTCCCAGCCGAATCAAATTAAAATGCTCCGAGCACTTCACATGCACATTGTGCGTCTCACTCTATCTGGTCTCTCGCAGTGTGTGGCCTCATTCTATTTCAGCAGATCATATTCACTCTCCTCTGGGACACAGGAAAAGAAAAAATACTTTTGTGAGACGGACAAACGTAGAAAGTCTGAGCTGAAGCGTGGGTTCTGCCTGAAGTGATGCCTGGTTTGTTCAGAGGTAGTGGCACCAGAAGTGTTGGCTCCTGAGGGGCTGCTGGGGAGGAGGTAAAGTTGCCCCGTGGAAATATATTTTATGTTTGGGGGAGTGGGATTCTGCAGATTAACCCCGCTATCCATTTAAGGCTGCCATCTTCTTTTGGACGGCGCTAGGACCAGCTGTTACTTTATCGCAACCTACTTCTCTGGATTACCTGGGTGCATTTGTGTCTTCCTCTGCTAGTGATATTCTGTGTTTGGTCACATTATTTATTTTATTGGCAAAACACCTCCTCAATCCCACAGTCTCCCAGCCAGAGGTGGGAAGTAGTGGAGTACAAATACTTTGTTACTGTACTTAAGTAAATTGTTCTGGTATCAGTACTTTACTCCACTACTTCTTCATCTGACGACTTTTTACTTTTACTTAAAAGTTTTTTTTAAATTTTAAAACCTGTACTTTCTACTTCTTACATTTTCCAAACAGGCTGGTTCCTTTAGTTTGAATGTGTGTTTGGTGGCGTGATCATTATTATTTAGAGTCATTGCGTGCCTATTGATTTGAACACGATCCGTGTATCCATCATTTCCTGGTCTTCTCTAAAGAAGAGGGACCAATGAAAACGTTGTCATGTTGCCGTTGTTCAGCATGGAAACATTCATTAGCTAACAATGACATTATTGTTCTATTAATTTAAAGGTAGGTCAGGTACTCTTTAAAACAGCTGCTAGTTATGGGTACTTTTTACTTAAGTACATTTCAAAGCCCATACTTCTTTACTTTTACTTGAGTAAAGAAGTGTAGTCAGTACTTGTATTTTTAAACACGAGTATGGAGTATCTGTACTTCTACTTGAGTAAAGGATGTGTGTACTTTTGCCATCTCTGCTGAGGAGACAACAACACGTCTACACAACAGTCATGTAAGCTGAAAAATAACAATACAGTTGAAGATGAGGCCATGTTGAGTATATCTGACAATTGACTAATATTGATATTTATTTTTTGCGTTGAGCTGGGCTATATTACTTGTATGATAGTATATTGGTGCATCAACACTGTGCATTGCTTTTCCTACGAAGGGGTCACAAGGCTACATGTCACATTCACTTAAAATATCCTCCCCATGCATGTCTGAATGTCTTCTTCTTTGTGTTCAATTAATAAGATTAATGAATTAAACGAAAATTAAAGTTAAAGCTTAAACATTTCAGTGGCAGAAGCCTTGTAAATCTGGCGATTACCCTGTAAACTATGTGTAAGAATAGGTAAGAAAAACAAATTCAACTCAAGAGGTCACACCATAAATCACAACAGTTGACAGAAAGCGCGAGAACAATGTATACAAACGTCCATGCTTGTTTACAGGTAACCACTATCTGTTGAAGTTAAGCCATTAAATCCTTCAACAACTACCCGAGATTACACATAAACACGGACTACTTACTGTCAGCAGAGGTGAAGGTCGAAGCCACGGTAAACAAAAGAAACACATACAGCCGATTTAATGACCGCATGGCTGGGTAAACACCGTCAGAAAGTTGAATTGACTGCAGACTGGAGACGCTGATCTTCCTGAAGTTGTTCAGGCAAAAAGGAAATCAGTTTTATGGCGGAGGGAGGGAAAGTCCAAGAGCCAAACCTTTCCTGATTGGCTGCATGCCGGAGAAAACGGGAACTACATTACATTTGTGCCCTTTGAGAGGCAGGAGTTGATTGAGACATTGAGTTTGCAAGAGGGCAATTTATAGTCAGCTTAATTTAGTGTTTATGTGATTAGGGCTCATTTGGAAATCAAAAACGGTTCACCCCAGATGGGACTCGAACCCACAATCCCTGGCTTAGGAGGCCAGTGCCTTATCCATTAGGCCACTGGGGCTATGCGGCATATCGTTTACGTCACAAAGCTATTTATAGATTAATATAAAGCGAAATAGGCCTTTTTTTACTGATGGTATAAGAAGATTGTTCAGTTATTTGGAGCTTTATTTTGTAGGTTTAAGGCCATTTATATCATCAACTTATATAATATATGATGTTGAGTTCAGGGATCTGTGCAGGTTGACAGTGTTTTATGATGTGATGCTGCCCTCTATGGAGGATGGAACAAGACATAAGTATAAATTAATAAATAAATGCATAAATAGATGTATGATTAAATACACAAATAAATAAATAAATACGGAAATACATATTCTTACTTGTTCACTACTATTTGGGACATTTGGGAGATTTAAAACCAAAATCATCTGTAAATACTTTATACTTAATTTCATGTTGCTATTTTTTATTCTTGTTGTTATTTATGAAAAACTGGTATTTGTTCCCCTCTGAGGTGTTTTGTGGGAAATCATTACGTTTTCTTCATATTTACTGCCAGTTTTTACGGTACTTTTGTATTATATCTAGCTGTTGTTGTTGTTGTTCAGTTAGAAACAATAGAACAAGATCATCAGCATAAATCTGAAACTTCACCTAACTATGGAGGGAGAGCCCAGCTGCAGCACATTGATCCAACTGAACAGCAAGTTCATTTATAAATACATTAAATAAAGTATAAATTGCAACCCTGACAAACACTTTTTAAAAATGTCTTCTTTAAAATAATGAGACTTTTGTGGTATATAAATAGCGAATACATAAATATAACTATCACTCTTTCTCAGGGTTTGAGCTAATTAACCAAATGTGTGATGTATGCTGTTTTACTGCTGAGATCTGATGTTATGCTCTTGAGTTTTATCTGGTATCTGTAAGTTTAAAAAAAAAAAACACAAAACAAATTATGTTGCTTTTCCATTTACTGGTTTAGGAGAGGAAAAACAGTTGATACGTACACGGACTGTTTTTACACCGTTTCCCTTTGTACACACTTATTTACAGGACATGTAGTGTTTGCAGTATTTATTGTTTCCACACAGTGGTAAAGCTCTGTGTGTGCATTCCTCCCTTCTCCTCCTAAACAGAAACGTGCTGTTATGAAGAAGTGAGCAATGCCAGTGTGTTACAGGATACAAATGAACGTATTTGAATTTAAATCAAATGATCTTATGACTAAAACAAGAGGGGATAAAGGAATGTAACAAAGTCTTCATGTAGGAATAAAATGAAGTCTGCTTCAGTCATCTTCTTCATCAACACCTCCACATTTCATCATATTTATCCAGTCATTTTGTCTGTTAAGCTGAGGAGAAAGTGCCACTTGACAATAACCACTAAACATCATTTTAGGTAGTTAGTAGATAGTTCCCTTTTCAAAAAATAAAATGAAAAAGCAAATATAAAAAGGAATAACTTATACAATCCACAACAATATGAACATTGAAACACAGGCCATTACACTTCATTAAGAGCTAAGAAGGCACACCAGATATGCATATAAATCTTAAAGAAAATTAAATCCTTAAAAGCATTCAGATTCAAAATTAAATTAAAGTGAAAAAGAATCACAAACGCTGTTGATTTGAGAGTATCCCAGAAAGAAAACACCACCAACAAACACAAACAAATAGCATTACAGCAGAGCTTTTCAGTAGTATTCACCTTCATCCATTTCAACTGCCGTAATTCAATACAAAGAACTACGGATGACCTACAGGTGCAAAAACATTACAACGCCCCGGAACATTTCCATTCGAAGAAACAAACGATGCAAATAAAAAAACACAAAGGTGCCAAAACACATGGAAATGAAGAAATATCTTGATCAACTTGACGAAACATACGCAGCGTTCCCTAAAAGCGCTGCATAAATGCAACGCTGCAAATACAAAAACATAGCAAGAAGCTCAAAACGCAACGGGAACAGGGACATTAAAAAGTGTCGCACACGGCTGGGCCGGACACGGCTGGGACCGGAGCTCTTGTTGACATTTGGGGATTTTAAAATGTGCCAACTATCACTGTCACTGGAAACGTGCCTTAATGTTTCCTGTAGATATTGAATTGCTCTTTTTATTATTATTGTTCTGATGTGTTTATTGTATTTTTGTAACTCTGGCACAACAATTTCCTTCGGGATGAATAAAGTCCTATCTTATTTCATCTTAAAAGTGTTATCGGCTTATTTGAACAATGTGGTCACATATTATTGCAGATCTGCTGTAAACTAGTTTGCTAACGTAGCTAACCTAGACATTTCAAATATATTGACAAACCACTTTTGTCCTGATGAGACAGTCTTTCATAATCCCATAATCCCAAACGTGCATCACTTTTTAGTGTCCCCCTTTTCTGTTGTTTCGAGCTTCTTGCAGTGCTACGTTTATGCGGCTCTTTTAGTAATCGCTGCGCATGTTTCCTCAAGTTGGTGAAGATGTTTCTTGTGTGTTTTGGCACATTTGTGGTTTTATATTTACGTAATTTCTGGAGCGGCAGCGTGTTTCTCCTGATGGAAATGTTTTGGGCCGTTGTAGCACGTTTGCACTGGTCGACCACCGTAAAGGTCGCTGCTTGGTGAGTGCGTTGATATAAAGTGAAGAGCTGCTATGTTATAGGAATGGACTTCATCTCCATTCACTCATTCGTCATCGATCAGTTTCTCAGCGCCGTTCTCTGCCTGTCTTCTTTCCTCTTCTCTTTTTCCCTCCTCCTCCTCTTCCTCCTCTTCCTCCTCGTACTCTCCGGTGTACGACGAATGGCTGCCGTAGTTGATGGTGGTGCGGGAGAGGTCCACTTCGATGGGGAAGACGTCCGCCTCCTTCAGGACGGCGTAGCACTCGTCGTAGTAATGAGACATTCCTGAGACGAAGCGCTGCAGCTGGAACACGATGTCCTGAACTGTGGAGGAGGAAGAGGAGGGAGAGGAGGAAGAGGAGGGAGAGGACGGAGAGGAGGAAGAGGAGGGAGACATCTTTGTTAAAGGTCTCCTATTATACTGTTTTTCATCAATATATTACAGGTCTCAGATATATACAGAACATGTCTCTGATTGGCTGAAACACCAAACAGATCATTGCAGCATTACCCATAATCCCCTCTGTTTCAGCCCTGTTTCAAAAGTGCTGATTTCAAACAGTAGAGTAATCGTATACTAACACATGAAGACAATATTTGTGAAGAATTTGTATTTATTCCAATTGTCATTATAGTTGTCTATTGAATAAAATTTCGTAAAAATTTCACTCTAAAGACAGAAATTATAAATCAGATTGTAAAACTTGTCTATTCATACTTGGTTAATCGTGTAGATACTAAAATCGCAAAAACTTCGATAAAAATATTTATAAGTTAGGTCATAAAATTTGTTATTTTGTATAAATTATAGTTATTTATCATGTTGTTATTAAACCGATGTTAGGCTACGAGTTAGTAGGTCACGCCGACGTCTCACGCTTTATACAGGTCCGAGAGTGAACGAACGGTTTTAAACGTCCGTCTATGAAGTCAATGTGTATGTTGTCTTGTCTTTGTGTTGTGTTCGACTAATCCGGAACTTCCTTCGTCCGTGTTCACTAAATTTGTTGTTTTTTTATTTTATATATTATTTTAGTTCTATTCTTCTTACTAATTTTCTAGTACACAGTAGTTCCTGTGTATCTATCTATCTAGAACGGCATCTGTACTCTGCATATACATTATCTGTATAGATTTTTTTTTTTTACTGTGTTTTTGTAAGGCAAGCGAATGGGAGTTTTGAACGCCACTGGGGGGTGACCCGCCGCGGGAGCGCCCCCAGCCCGGGGGGTGAAACTCTTTTGGTGACTGGAATGGTCAAATGAAAATGTTCGGATAAAACAAAAGTACAGGTTTTACACAAGATAACAGCTATCGTACTGTTAATGGGGTGTTTAATGCAACCACATGCCTAAACTCACAAAGTTCCGAACAGTCTACGGTAAAAACACATATATAATAACGACATGTTACAACACGAACGACCGTCCGGTACCCCCTCGGCGACATGGCCCCAGTCGCGTGTGCCTTGTCGATGCTCATTGGCAGACCACGACCGCCACGGCTGTCCTTCGGGCGCGGGCGAAGCGGTTCTACTCCTGTCCTGCAAGACCTCTTCTAGCTCGACGACCTACGTCTTTGTACCAGACAACACCAAAAGTAATTTATAGAAAATTATTTTCACATAACAAGTACAACAGTCCACGCTCAATAATGTAAAAAATTTTTCCAGTCCGATAATACGTTTTAGGTGAAGAAGTACAGTAGAAGTTGTAGTTTACACACCAGGGGAGAAGAAGTACAGAGAAGTTGTAGTTCTACACATGGGGAGAAGAGGTACAAGAAGATGTAGGTGTACACATAGCAGAGAAGAGTCGTAGTGTACAAGTACAGAGAAGATGTAGTTGTACACAGAAGAGTAACAGAAAGTACAGTTCTGTAGCGAGAAGAAAGTACGAGAAGATGTGAGTTGTACATCAGGAGAGAGTACATGAGAACGATGTATTGTACTCAGGGGACACATTTCTTGACTTTCAAGGCCTTGTTTCTAAGAGAGAGAAAACAGGACTAGGTAAAGATATTGTTTGGACGACTTTTAACTCGACTAGTCTAAAAACCGGTGAACTACTACAGTATACTACTACACAACAGAACACATTTTGGTAATCGGTTAGTCGTTGGGTTCCGTTGGGGGGGGGGTGGTGGAATAGTGGACTTAGAGGAGGATCTCGTGGTAACACAAAAACATTTGTTTAGAGAGAGTCTCCCGCACCCCTCCCGAGGAATAAAAGTAGAATTTCAT